GATCAATGGGGGAGCCTGCCCAATCAGCGTCACAGAACGCGTGCAGGTCCTCGTTTACGTTGGCACCCCCATAGTGCAGGCGGAGATTGATGGTTCCGGAAAGGTAACGAAGCAGTCGCTTTGCGGCGGCGTAATGAGCAGGCAACGGTTTCGCGTTATGTTGTGCGAGCGAGTTTACGGCGAAGGATATGTCAGGGCGAGTGCAGATTGCGAGGTAGAGTAGCTCCCCAACGAGCTTGCGGAAAAGTGTTGGGAGGTTGGGGATTATGGCATGTGAGTCGTCAGGTTTTCCGAACGGATGATGTGGGTCGAGTGGGAGGCGGACGGGATTACAGTCGAGCAGGTTGTATTCGTCGAGCAAGTAGGTGATGTACTCGCCTTGGTGCAGCCAAAGCTCACGGCTGCTTCGACTGCGTTCGAACTGAATGCCGATGAACTTGGTGACTGGTCCCATGTCCTTGATACCGAAGCGGTGGTGAATCTTCTGCTTGACCCAGGTCAGGAAAGCGGGATTGTTGGATGTACCCAGCCCGTCGTCGACGTGGAAGCCGATTATGCAGACTATGCGAGTTCCGGAAGCGCTGCTGTCAAAAAGGAATACTGCGTAATCAACAGCGCAGCGAGAGAAGCCCAACTCCTCCATGATGTCCCGAACCTGTTCGTACCACTCCATCGCGGACTGCTTCAATCCGTAGATCGTCCGAAGCATCCGCCAAACCATCACCCTCCAGTCTCCCTCTTCAAATCCTTTGGGCTGACGCATGTATATTTCCTCCTTGAGTACCCCCCAGAGAAAGGCACGTGTGGCATCGAATGAGTGAAGCTCCCAGTCGTTCTTGCAAGCTAGAGCAGCTATGAGGCGTAGTGAAGCGGTTTTCAGCACCGGTGCAAACGTTGCACCGAAATCGACCCCAGGTATTTGAGAGAATCCTTGTGCGACAAGACGTGCCTTATAAACCGATCCTCCCTTATTATCCTCTTTAAACTCTAGAACCCATCGATTACTGATAGCCTTGCGTCCTTCTGGAAGGGGAGAGAGCTTGTAGACACGCATCTCGTCCATTATGCCGAGTTCTTTCTTCATGGCGGCAAACCATTCGTCTCGATCAGTACGTAGCATGGCCTCGTCGTATGTAGCTGGGGGAATGGCCATGTCATAGCCAGGATCGTTGGGATTCCGTTTACGGTCGCTGCGGATGGTGATGTGCGCGTGTTCTTCTATCATGACGTTCGCGTAGGCTTCGGGGATGTCAATGTTCGGTTCTATATCTGCTAAATTCTCCTCTACCACCTTCTGACCCATTTCTCTCTGACCCAATTCTCCTTTCTCCGCTGGCACCCCCTCACTCGACAGCGAAGCGGGCTCAGCAGCTCGCGATGCGCGAGACTCGCGCAGTTGTGCGAGTCGCGCCTTGGTAACTGCGATCCCTTCGGCGAAGGCTTGTCCGGCTGGCGTCTTGACTGTCGCTCTGCCTGAGCGACGAGGTACAATGGCTGAGCCCTGCGGAGGGAGAGTGATTAGAGGAGGCACGGCAGAAGGGGGAAGGGAAGGTGGGGATGAAAGCACACGAGGCTGTGAGTCGTCCTCGTCGGAGTCAGAATCAGCCGAGGGTCGAATGCTAGGCAAACGTTCATCGAAGATAACATCCCTAGCCACGAAGAAAGTGCCATTAGCATCTCGCAATCGGTAGCCCTTGGTACCTTCTGGGTACCCGACGAACATGGCAGGACGGGAGTGTGGACCAAGCTTGGTCTGCAACTCGGAGGGAATTCGGGCGAAGCATCGTGAGCCGAATACTCGGATATGAGAAAGATCCGGTTTACGCCCATTTGCCATTTCGAATGGTGTGACGTCAGATGGTAAGGCACGCGAAGCACTGCGATTCCACAAATAGCACGCTGTCAACGCAGCTTCCCCCCATAGATTCGCTGGAAGACCTGCTGCCTCCAACATGGCAAACAGTCGTCCCTCGATGGTACGAATGGCCCGTTCGGCCTTCCCATTCTGCTGGTGCGCATATGGCGCTGAGAGTTGGCGTTCTACGCCCGAGTCCACGAGTGCTTTAGTGAAGCCAACACTTAAGAACTCCCCTCCGTTATCTGAACGAAAAACCTTGACCGTACGTCCGGAGTGATTTTCCCAACGAGCCTTGATCAAACGCCATGCATCTAAGGCCTGATCCTTGGTGGCCAGAAGTTGAATATTCAGTAAGTTCGTGTGATCGTCGAGAAAGAGTATGAAGTGACGTTTTCCGTGGGGAGTGGCTATGGGGAACGGACCACACAAGTCCGCATGAACAAGATCCAGCATTTGTGCAGCGCGAGGTTCCTCCGAGGGGGGGTAGGGCTTGCGTGGGTGTTTTGCCATGATGCAGGGTTCACAGCGTTGGAGGGGGGCAGTAGAGGTGAACGTGACACCAGTAGCGATGCGTTCGAGTCGTTTGACAGCATCCCCGCCCGGGTGTCCCATACGGGCATGCCACAGGTCTAGCGACAAAGGAAGGCGAACGAAAGCGGAGATTTCTCGCAGGGGTTCGAAGTGTGCCGGTGAAGTGATGTCCGGACGGATGAATTTCAGGTCGACAAAGAATAAGTTCCCAGTCATGGGGACTTCGCCTAAGACCTCACCGTGACACTTCAACTGACAACGCGCTGGTGAGTGCTCGAAGTTACAAGACCACTTCTTCTTCAACATGTGCCCCACGGAGAGTAGATTGATCATGGCGCCGGGCGCATGCAAACAGTCTGTGAAGGTGATTCTGAACGTTCGTCCACCCAACGTTAAGTCTGCTACGCAATTCCCTCGCCCAGAAGTTGCCAAACTGCCATGATTAGCAGTTTTGACCGTTACGCGAGTGCTCTCAGTGTAAGTCCAGAAATAGCTACGATCAGCAATGAGATTCGAGGTAGTTCCTGAATCGAGTATAGTGGAGAGGGTCTGACGTGCGATGCAGGCGATGTCGTCGAACTGAGGAAGGGATTCATGGTCTGATTCGAGATCCTCTATGAGGGCACATGTGAGGTTGCGTAACTCGTCAGCGACAGCACTGTTTGCGGTGGGAGTGTATGATGGAGGGTTGGAGGGAGGAGCCGTATTACTATCAGCGGCTGCAGCAACGTCCTGCTTCTTTGGCTTTCGGTCCCGGTTCCTGTTACCTCCTTGACCTTCCATGCCTCCACCGGTTTGGAAACAATGTTCTCGATCGTGCGTAAGTGAACGTGGAAGTCCGGTGCATAGAGGATTGTCACAGCTCACCCCTTTGGGGTTATACTTGTGAATTCGAACACCTGTCTTAGGGTTTGTCTTTCCGTCCGAGAATGACTTAAACGATGTGACGTTGGCGTATTCGGATCCTGGACCATTTAACTTATGTTCTCCCCGCAGACGATTAGCCTCTTCAGAGAGGGACGTCAGTACTGTGGAGAAAGTCATCTTCGTAGTGGTAGCAGCAACTGAGGCTGTGGTGGAGGAAGTAGACGCCACAGGTGAGGGAGTGCTGTACAAACTCATTGTCATACGTTTGAAGATGAGCCAGTCTGGAGTGTGCGGGAGGCCGTGAAGAAGGAGGAATACTAGCTCGTCTTCGGTCACTACAATGGCCATCTCCGCGAATCGTCGTCTGGCATTTTCGAACGTGCTGATGTAGCGGGGAGCATCGTCAGGGTCCTTAAGTTTTTCAGCGAACAATTGTGCACGAAGCTCAAATTGAGACGTGACATCAAGCCGTCCAAAATGAGTCGCCAAGGTGTTCCACTGTTCCCTCGCGGTCCAAGACTCGCTGAGCATACCTTGGACAACTGCAGAAAGCTTTCTGCATATGATGCCCTTAGCCTGCGCATCCTCCTTGATCCATTCAATCGCGCTTTGCTTTTCAGCGGCTGTGGGAGAACCAGCGACAGCTGGTGAAGGCATGACAAACGCGAATTCTGCATAGTTATTGGGGTCGGTGCCGGAACTGCAATGGTTCCAGAGTCCGTCTCCTTGGAGGGCGAGAGTAACCGCGCGACGCCAAGCAGGATAGTCATCAGCACCAGACAATTCGGTAATGAAGTCGTATTTCCCCATGGTGGATGTGGATATGTTTATTTCGCAGTGAGCGTTGGAGTTCGTACGTGAGCGGTCGGCTTCCTGGATCTGAGCTTGTTCAGAGCTCAGGGCTCATAACCTATAGGAAGCTAGACACACGGAGTAAGTCTCAGCGGACGGTGAAGCAACGCTTTCATTAACTACCTAGACACACGGAGTAAGTCTAGAACAAGCGTTAATCGTTAACAAGATGATAAATGAGACAAGAATGTGATCATACCTCAGCGGACGGTGAAGCAACGCTGAGGTAGAGTGGAAACGGGGAAGGGATTAAATACAGGAATGTAAAGAAGTCCGAGACGGAGAGAAGCGAGTCCGAGACGGAAAGAAGCGACTGATACACGAGGGTGATATAAGATGTCGAAGGTGCTACGAGTCGATAAGAGTCAAGAAAGGAAATGAGAATTCATAGTATGTCCCGGAGGTTAATCCTCCGGGACTCGTACCGTGTGGGCGCACTCTTCTGTCCTCTTTCATCCTTATCGCCAATAAGAGCCAGCAAGGGCTAGCAGAGGCCAGTAGAGGCCGACAGAAGCGAGGGAGCAAGGGTCAGCTTAGCTTAGTCAGCACAAAGGTCCTAGAGAGGCAGTTGTTGTAGTCAGACATCATCCATTCCCAGCCCATACTGTCATATAGATATATCCTAAGTGGACTACATCTAAAAAAACTCAAGTTGGTCGACACAAGTTCTGAACTTGTTCTGAACAAGCCTATTTGGTGTAGCTCAGGGTGGTGTTCGTAAACACTCGTCTTGGTTTAATTGAACATTTGCCTCGAGCCCGATGTGCTTAAGTAATAGATATAATGCATTTCGCGAGGTAAAAGAGCCGTATTTTCAATGTATATACAATAGATCTACTAATAATACAAGTATCGTGATTAATAATATGAGTATCGTGATTAATAATACATGTCACGCGATATCCGAGTCTGAGTTTGAGTCCAAGTCGAAATCGGAGAGCTCATTCCTGCGCTGTTGAGACGTCCCACAAATGACCATATGGTCTTTCCACCCGTCCAAGTCAGCTTTCTCCTCATCAGTGAGATCATCCATGCCCGAACAGATCATTTCGAAGGTAAAAGCATCTGCGTCTGGGGACGACTTAGGTGCAGTGAGTATCAGGTGTGCTTGTTCCGCCAGCACACGTTTTGTTATTGCGCCGGCCAGTCCCATTGCGAAGTGCAGCTGTCTGCGTGGCGAGATGAGCAAAACGTCGAGTTGAAAGCGCATATTCCATACCATTTGCGTGACAAGGTGAAGAATGAAGTGATTTTTGAACTTCGAGTGAATTGTCAGCGTCCCGTCCTGTTGACAACTCAACATGTGATTGGTGATTGAAAGTGCAATGAAGACCATACCACATTAAATGAGTAATCGTGCATGAACACGTTGTTTCGAATGAGGTGTCTCACATGATCCATGTGGAAGGTCTCGGGGGAGATTGGACTGCCCTGCGGAGGGAAAAGTCCATAGGCCATTACGACGCCTTCTCGAGTGAGGGTCGTAACCGCCGTGCGCATGACAATTACCGCTCGCCAGATTGTTGCAAGGTCCTTGGTTTGATTCTCCCAGCGCGGTATTCCTGTTGGTCTGTTAGTTAGAAAAGTATTGAAAAAATTAACATACCATTAAGCCCTGGAATCTTGGGTGTCGCCTTTCGAATGATAGACTTGATAATACGTTTCTTGTCGGCCGTAGACGAGGCCATCGCGTCCTTTGTGAGGGCGATGCCCACGACAAGTTCTTTGGAGCGTTTGAAGATTTGATCACGGATGGGTCCTGTAACCTGGAAATAATGGTTGTCGCCCGAGGCTCCTGCATGGCTCGGAGTTGCGTGCATTGTTGCAGTGACATCAGCCTGTGTTGTTGCAGGAACAACAGGGCTCTCGTGAGTAAATTGTGGTGTTCCAGGTAATTGTCGAGTACGTCGTCGTCTGTTGGACGATCGCGCGGGTCCCGTTGTCTATAATAGAGTTTGAGAGAAATAAACAAAATATACTTGAAACTTACGTGTATAACTTGTGAGCGCGGTATCTCACCCGTTGCGACGGGGACAAGAGCATCTCGAGGCTCCAATGGTTCCTCTTCATTGTGGTCGAATAGTTGAGGAATTTGTATGTGGTGTGGGTTAGGTGCTTGCATGTTGTCGAAATCGGAAAGATGCTCGAGACGCCTGGGACTGTATGAGCCTGTGAAAACGATCAGTGACGATGTCTCATCGATGATCAAATGACTTACCATCAAACGATCTATAACTCTCATAATCGAACACCGGCGGCTCATACGGTGGAATGTCGTTATTGGGGTTTGATTGATAGGCAGGGTCAGTTCTAGGTACTGAATCGTTGTACATGTTATAATCGGGGTTAGGGAATGTGTAATCCATGTCAGTGCCCGATGATGGATGAGTGTGAGCGCTTGATGATGGATGAGTGTGAGCGCTTGATAACGGATTAGTATGAGCGCTCGATGACTCAGCGGGAGCGCTTAAAGATGCATCAGCCTGAGGGCGAGTACTTGATGATGCAACGTGAGCGCCTGACGGACCCGTGTGAGTGTCGTAGGTGTGAGCAGGGTGGAACGACGGCACATAACCACTGGGAGCATGTGCACTGAAGGAATTGTAGTTGTCGTAACGAGTGCTAGTAGGTGCATAAATCAGTAGTAGCTGTCAAGACAGAAAAGTACGCACCTTGAGCTGAACCCGTCGTGTGGATTGAAAACGTTTGCCATTGGTTCATGGGGTTGTTCGTCGCTGAGACACATCTGAGTGTCCGCTGGGACGTGTGAGGGATTCAGACCAGACCCGCGAGTGGGTTTTGGTATCGTTGTTTTACCTTTAGCACGTTTTACAGGCATACGCAGGGAGGACTCCAGTAGTAAGGGCGCAATAAGGGCGCAGGGTACAGGTAAATATCCGCATAGCATTCTACTACAAACCATACTTAAACAAGATGTGTCAATCAGAAGACGCTGAAGAAGGGTAAGATGAAGGGGTACGATGTAAAAGTAAAGCATGCAAGTGACAAACCAATACAATCTGGGGGGTCGCCATCATAATTAAACAGTAACACGAGCAGCGTGTAATATTACATGTTCTCTTATCGATTGATCAGTGTCGTACATTGAAATACAATAATCTGTTTCACATACCGCGATTGGAAGGGCATGCAGCTGAATAGCCACCGATCAAGTTCACATGGTGGTACTACTAGTCACATCATCAGGCGCTTCACCAGCCCCCACCGGTGCCCCAAGACACTCTTCTTTGGAATCCAGGTCCGAAGAATCGTCTAGAACAATATCATCATCGTCATGAATCTCAAGACTGGGGAACCGGGATTGCGAGTCCGCAGGTCCGGATTGTAAGAATGCGTCTTTGGTTCGTGAACCTAAGATCTTTGAGATCTGTTCAGCTTGGGCTGAGGTAACACGAAGGATTTCGCATTCATCTTCATAGATGGCTTGAAGGTAATCTCTATCATCGTCAACTTCTGTGCGGTCACGCTCAGAAAAAATCCTCCTAAAGTTCTGCAACTCCTCGTCTGCAAATCCAAGTCGTTCTTCATTCTCGCTATGCAGGGCATCAAGGAATGCAGTGAAGCGCTCTGATTCTTCAATTTCCCACGCAGTCACCACAAGGCGTTGGCGTGCCGTCTCGCGAGCAGCAAGCTTGGCTTTATAGCCTTTGTACAAGGTTGAAGAACGCAGTTGTGCAAGGCCATTTTCCAAGTATCCGATATGCTTTGTCAATATAAAAATCAGTCCCTGTAATCCAGTAGAAAAAATATATTGTACCTGAAGAAATGTTTCCAATGATACATATGGCTTGCGCTCTTGCCCCATGACACGAGCTGCATAATGAACCTCTATTGGAGCTGGATATACGGGATATGGATGCTGCTTCCTCATCATTCTGTTGTGTATGAACTGCCATCGTGCAGCACATCGAGGGTTCGGAGATTTAGACGGATCAAAAAATATGCTATCCGTCTCCTTAGCCGAAATCCCAAGTGTCTTTTCTGGCCTTGTGCTTAGTGGGGAAGTGCACAAGTCAGAATTCATAGTGTTGGGAGAGCTCCCTGACTTGGAGCTAGAATAAAAAAGAGATGTTTCAGGAGTGGTGGCGCGTCCACTGGATAGAGGAGAAGATGTGGGGCTGTTTAACGGACTTGGTGGGCCAGGCGAACTGCTAGGGGGAGGAGGAGATGAGACTCGGGGGGGACTACTGGGCTGAGAACGAGATGGAGAAGACATCTGTAAGCACTTTGAACTTGACGATGGAAGAAACCTACTGATATATAGAAGAAACCTGCTAATAGTATAAGCTGTTATCAGTACAATACCCTGTGAATGCACAGTCTGCGGAGTCTCAAAGACGTTACTGCCAGCAAGCGTCAGCAAAGCTCACAAGGAAAGGCCTAGTCAAGACTTGGCAGTCCGGTTAACTATCTGATGCAAGTATCTTTTTATCACTTTATTATTACATAGACTAACATATACCAGGCTGTGTCCCAACTGCAGTGAGGAGTTCCTTTCCATCGAGGCAGTCATTCTGCATCTTGATTCTCCGTCTACCTGTTGGCCACATGAATCACATCCACATCAATTTCCAATTCCACCTGCATTGCGAGGTTCTCATTCATCGACATCCTCCACTACTGGACATCATCATCCTCGATCTGGGTATGTCTTTGGTGTCGGCAAAAACTTATTCGACAGGTTGCAAGAGGATCAATATGATTATCGGAGGAAAATGAATACATATTACCCTTTTCATGATGAAGGGGAGTGGGAATTGGCGAGGTTTCTAGTTGAAAACCTGACTCAGACTCAGATCGACAAATTTTTGAAGCTGAAATGGGTAGGAGACTTGGAGCCCTATTTGACAGGTCTAACTCTATGTTTACAGTTTCACACCCACCCAAGACCATCTTTCACCTCAAAAGATCAACTTCTCGACTGGATTGACGCACTCCCCTCTTTTGTGCCTTGGAAAGTCTCGACCATGGAGTTTACAGGCTACAAGACAACCTATCCTTTGCAACTCATCTGGCGTGATGCTCTCGAAGTTGTCAAACAGCTCTTTGGCGATCCCGTTTTCGCCAATCACATTACTTTTCAGCCACATGTTGTCGACATTGGGGGTCAGCGTGAATATGGGGATTATATGAGCGCCAATATGGCATGGAAAATTCAGGTCAGTTTTATCCGTCAGTCTACTATTCAAAGATTGATGCCATGTTCCTAGGACCATCTCCCAGTAGGTGCTACACAAGTACCGATCATCCTGGGATCAGATAAAACACCTGTGACACGCACTACTGGAGGGCTTGAGATGCACCCACTCTTCATTACGATTGGCAACCTCGATTCAGAAGTTCGCTCCAAGGCTACACTACGAGCTTGGCGGTGTATTGCTTACATGCCCATCGCCAAGTTTCGTGTGCATCCTGATTATCAGAGCATTCTGCAAGCACGGCTGTGGCATAAATGTGTCGATCTTGTCTGCGCCAATCTCAAGATTGCAGCAAAAAATGGTTGTTTTATGCCCGATCCTTCCCGATACATTCGTTACGTCTTTACACCTCTCATCGCTCACGTATGTGACCTCCCAGAGGCTACCATGATCGCTACTGTCAGTAAAAACGCATCTCCCATAACTATGGCGACACAGGCAAATTTTGGTGATGGAGTCCTCTACCCTCCTCGTACTGGGCAACACACGCTGCGACTCATCTATGAGATCTCCCAGGAGGCTGATCCTTGGGATCTCGATAAATTCCAGAAGGCAGCAAAAGCAGTCCATCTGTCAGGAGTTCACATGCCGTATTGGCGCGATTGGATGTTCGCATGCCCGTCTGTCTTTCTCACTGGTGAAGTTTTACATACCTGCATCAAGTTTTTTGCAGATCATCCGCTCAATTGGATCAAGGAGACAGTAGGGAAACCTGAGCTCGATGCTCGCTTCATGGTTCAGCATAAGCGGGTGGGAACACGTCACTTCACCAAAGGTGTCACCCATGTCAACCAAATGACAGGACGGGAGCACCGAGATATCCAACGCACCATTGTCGCTTCAATTGCAGGTGTTGCTCCACCCAGATTCATTCGTGCCATTCGCGCCCTTGTGGAGTTCATCTATCTTTCGCAGAATCCAGTTCATTCTCCTGATTCCCTACAGTCGATGGCGCAAGCACTTTCAGATTTTCACGTGTTCAAGGATGCTATTGTCGATGCTGAGGCAAGGAGGGGAAAGAAAGGTGTTAAAGAAGATTTCTTTATCCCGAAACTCGAGCTATTGCAAAGCTTTGGAGGCACAGTCGAGAGACTGGGCACTTTGATGCAGTTTTCGGCTGATATGACAGAGCGCTTACTCATTACACACTGCAAGCATCTCTTTGGGCGCACAAACCGGCGATCCACTGATTTTACAGAGCAGTGCGTACGGATCCTCAACCGCCAAGAGTCAATGGAATTATTCAACTTGTATGCGTTATTCTATTCTCGTGGCGCGTCACTCGTCAATGCCATATGTATGGAAGATGAGGAAGTGACAACCGTTAATCCAGCACTTTCCTGGGTTTCTCGTGTTCTCCCTGATGAAGCACATTCCGTTCATGGACCTCGGCCAGTTCGGAATCATTTTCTTAAGGGCATTCTTTCTGGAGATGCTCACACTGCCTTCCATCTGACTTCGACACCAGATTTCAAGGCTCTGACACCCATTGCTATTGAAACCAAATATTCACTTGTTAATTTCAATCGCGCGCTCTCTCAGTTTATCAATCAGCTATCCCTCCTCACTGGCGAGCATACCCGCTGGGACCACAAATACGGACGCTTTTGCGCGTGGAACAAATTTCGACTACAGCTTCACTCTGCTTTCCAGCCACGAGTCATCATGCCAAGCAGAGTGATACAAGCGTACCCACCGAGTGATGCATTCCCCCTTGGAAACTGTGACGCTGTCCTAATCAATGTCATGGATGATGATGGCCAAAGTAGTAAGTTTATTCTTGCAGTCGTGTTTCAGATCTAATTCAAGATGTTTTTCAGCCAGTCGTGTTGCACAAGTCCGACTTATTTTTCAGCCGAAGATTCCAGGGACTTCTGACTTGGTGTTGCCAACGTTCCTCTCCGGTCCACTCCTCTACGTCCAATTCTTTCACTTCGTCGCTAATCCCAGTGACCGTCCTGAACTTGCAATGTGGACAGTAGAGCGCACATACACGATGGACCAACATGGCAGACGTTGTAGGTGTGGTGGCGTGATATCATTGACGGATGTAACACATGCTGTCGAATTGATACCAGAATATGGTAACAAGGTAGACGCAAAGATTTCTTCGGCCACTTGTTTGGAGAGCTATGACCGGTTTTTTCTTAACAGTTTCGCAGATAAGGAGAGCTATCATACATTCAGCACGGAGTTCGCATAGACGCAGTATCAGTACCTCATACTAGTAGTAGTAGTCACAACACAGACAATGATCTCAAATACATGCACAATTGTTACAAAGTTTTACAACGGCCATCACTGCTGCCTATAAATGGCCCTAGTCTAGGGTTCCAAATAGTAATCTCAATATAATATCGTTATTTCCAACCCATTTTACCCACTTAACGCTACCGCAATATTCGATTTACATTTTACTACGGATAAGTTTGTTCCACCAATCGCGTTGCTCCATCACCAGCGCCGTAAGCTCACCGTAAGCATCAAACTTCTTTCTGACAAGCGAAATTTCAAGGTCTTTTGCTGATGTATAATCCTAAAAGTCCGATACATACTCTTCTTTCGTTATTCATCATCCAACAGGATGTATCCAGGATATATCACTCATTAGAATCACGCTGGCGGCTTCCCATGCTTACAAATCACCGTTCTACGGGGGGTTGAATGCTCCATATGGATATTTGGCAGTTCACCTCCGTTTGCACCTTGCCATTGCCCCTGCCTTCCTCATTCTCCTTGATCCGGGATGATCGATCAGCAGGTGGCGATAGGATCTGACGATAGGATCACTTCTTGTACCTGTCAAGAAGTAATATGGCTGACACACTGCACAGCACTTTGACTTTGTGTTCGAAAATGTGTTCTTCAACCGTGAGAACAAATTGCGTGACTACCAAGGCCTTCAAACGCACCTGGTAACCTCCAACCTCCTGCTCTTCGGCGCCCACCAGAATGTTCTCCCAGACGCTTACGGAGCCATGTTGTGTACCCAGCAAGTTTGGATGTCAAAGTACGAGTGCCTATGGATTGACCCACTCATGTTGGTCCATTGTCTGAATCCGTGAGTCTAACTTTCATTACGATTGACTCCCTGATTTAGTCTTACTAGTTCTCATAATTGTTAACACTTGGGGCAGTACAACTCGAAGTACTCTTAAGTATGAGTGCCTATGGATTGACCCGCTGCTCGTGTTGGTTCATTGTCTGAATCCGTGAGTTTTAATTTCATTTTGATTGACTCTCTGATTTAGTCTTACTAGTTCTCATAATCGTTAATACTTGGGGCGGTACAACTCGAAGTACTCTTAAGTACGAGTGCCTATGGATTGACCCGCTCGTGTTGGTTCATTGTTTGAATCCGTGAGTTTTAATTTCATTTTGATTGACTCTCTGATTTAGTCTTACTAGTTCTCATAATCGTTTATACTCGGGGCGGTACAACTCGAAGTACTCTTTCAGACACTCATTTTTCTTTCAGTTGAAGCTGACTTCTTTGAGCTCGCCACGATCAAGTAGGTCTTTCAGCCCGGCGTCTGGAACAGACACATCTTTGGCACCTGTGATCACCGAGCTCCAGCCACGATGACACGGCTCCGTATTTCCTACTCGGAGCATCCAAGGGATCTTAGCATAGTCCGGGCTGTCCCAACTCAAGATGAGCTCCTGCATCAATGTATCGATATGTTAGTTCATCTGGCGTGCATTTAAGAGATCCTTGCAGCTAAATTAAACGAGATTAATACTACTACTATCACTACTACTATTTGTCAATTGTGACATGAAGCTTTGGGCTGTGTAATAAAGTATCATGTAGCTGTATACTCACCGAGTATGATACAGTGTCCGTGCGTGGGATATTGGTCTCGATTTTTACGCTACATTTCAATATTCATTTCGCTTACTGCAGCTTAAATGCCCAGCCTTGTCGATCAACGCGTCAAATAACGTTAAGAGTACATATCTAATTGATCTCATCCGCTGAAATGACTTAATGTCAACACTATGAAAATAGATGGCTCCTCGTAAATGGACAACATCTGAGCAGGAGGCGTGGCTTGAACCGTGGTACCAAAAGTTCGCCGAACAGCAGAGTGACAAGAGTAGAAACCACCAAAACTTCTTTGCGGACCTTTATGAAAAATGGTTCGAGGCGTTTCCGGAGCCTCGCCCAAATAATATCACTGAATTGGGGCCGTTAACACTGGGAGAATAGGATAGTGCAATTCACACACGAAAAGCCGTAAGCTTCATTGAAATTTTCAAACTGACAACACTGAAAATGTTTGATAGAAATTACATATGCGATTCAAAAATAATTTTAGCGGGACAAAGGCGGGGCAACAAGCGAAAGCCAATGCTAACGACGTCTTTGACGCTGTTGTGCGGAAGATAACTGAATGTGAAAAACCTACACGAATGCTTCAGGAACACGAAGCTTATTCCAAGTTGTACTATGCTGATCGTGTTCAGAAATCCATCCAAGAGACGCTCAAGGTTGCACAAGCAACACAATCACTCACCAATGGTCAGCGAGTAGCACTATTGAAAAAAGAGACCGCTACTCTGTATGCAGGGGAGTCCGAGGAGATCAAGGCTAAAGTGAGGGAGTACATCCATGCACAGAAGGAAGAGCGCGGTAAGGAAAAAGCCGAGCCTTGGAGTGATGAAGATCAGCAACGGTGTGTCCTGCTCAAGTTCACTGTGTAATAGTATCACCTGACATGCACAAAGGAATCTTACCAAACTGGCCACCATTGCGAATCAATTCCTCAAAGGCCTCGCTGATGCCACTGGTCTATCCTTCAGCCTTCTCGTTGGAGGTCCATCTGCCGAGTTAGGTGGAATGATTGATGTCTGGAGGTATGTTCTACATCAGAGACTCAAAACTTGAGAGTCGAAATGACACTCAGCTGGACAGCTTCCATGTTGGAATGACGAAGCTGGGCAATAATTTTAGTCAGGCTTACCCTAAATTTGAGAGCGAGATAGTGGGACCATTTCGAGATTATCTGTATTGTGTGTACCATAAGTGTCATCTTTGACCATCCGTGACACCTTGTACAAAAAGGCTTACCATTTTGATAACAGCGGAGGCCGCAATACTGAAAGATCAGAAGATGGGGGGAGCAAGCAGCTCCAGATCATCATGGGGAGACAGCGTGTGTGATGAGAATCAATCGTCATATCCTGTGATGGATGAGCTGTCCAAGTGGGATAAATCTTTGTCAGGCACGTTGGGATTGCTGGATATATCCGAGTTTCCTTCTTCGTCAAATGCTCCCACACTGTCAACGCTGCCTTTCAGTTCTGACAATATCATCTCTGGCAACAATCAACCAAACTGGCAGCTGGCCGACGATGGGCTTGACGACTTCCTAGAGACATTGGCCCAGAATCTGCCTATGTCAACTGTTGACTACTTGATGTCACATGTTCCACCTTCGGCTGAGACACCTTCCGTTCCGGTTCCGGCTGTGGTTGAAACACCCTACTGTCCCCTTCTGCCAGTTTTCCCCCGTTCTGTCCATGGTGCTTATGTTGACACACCCGAGCCATCTGATGGTATTCCCCCAGCTGATTCACTTCCTAGTGGATTTGCGCATCCCACCGCACACCTTCCTGGAAATGAGGAGCCCAACAGCAACAGGCCAGACGCACTCCCTCCATCTTCGATGGCAGAAGACCATACAGAGGACTCGTCTCCTCCTACCACCTCGTCCCACACTTCTGCTTCAGCAAATGTTGTGAATGAGGCTCAAGCGAATGAGGTTCAAACAGCCGAGGTTCAAACAGCCAAGGGAGACGACAACAGTGGACTCCGTAGAACAAGGCGCGCACACATCCCATCTACACGCAACAGCATCACCAACTCAATCGGCAACAATTGCAAGGAGAACGCAGTGTTGAATCTGGCTTCAAAATGCAGCCATAACACTGATTCATCCGCTCGTGTGGGCCAGCAAGCGAAGTAAGTCTCTTTTTGTGTTTTTACATCTGTTCTGCTCATTATCTTGCACAGAAGGCCTAGAGTGTGACATCACACAGGAGAATACATCCTCAAGGGCCGATAGTACCTCTGCGGCATATGTTTAGAGTCATCCTGTACATTACTATACCTAATGCTCGAGTCTTGTTGCTAATATACTCGTTCCTATTGACCAATCGACTCGGATTTGAACGTTTGAACACGGTATTGTCTGAACTTTGAATGTTTGGTGGTATTGTCTGAACTTTGAACGTTTGGTGCGCAGGCTTCTCGATGATAATGATAGCTACGAGTCATACATACGAGTTATATACATATGGGCCAAGATGCAAAATATTAGCCTATTCAAAACTCGTAGTTCTGGTACAAGAATCCATTGAGCAAATGCACGACGGCCAACTCAGCATCTCCGTCACTTAGCGTGTGACAGTAAATGTCTTCCACCATGGCAATGGTATCCCTCATGCTCCAGCAAACTTGGTCCGCAGCACGCCACTCATCACAAACCCCGCATAGTTGAAGGATGCCATCTTGCCCTCGAGTAGCTCTCTCGAGGAAGTCCTCGATACTCGACATGGCACGTTTGAGGATTTCTTGATCCCCGTGGCCTCCAGGAGTGTCTGGAATAGATTTGGTGTATTCGGCGAAGACGCCCAAGGTGAAGGTTCGTGGTGATCGAACATGTTGCATGAAGTCGTCCTTAGCGTATTTGACCACGGCAATGCAATCAGCCAACGTCTCTCTAAGAACAATATTATATACATGTCTAAGGCATTAATATTTAGAACTCACAGTGATTCGTGGTGATCATCCGAATGGTCATCCGTGCACTCGTCATTGCTGCTATCACGGTTTTTGTTAGCATGGTATCTTTCCCTCCTCTTCACAAGGATCATCTCACGGCACCTGCATCTTTTATCAGTATTGGGGATTAACTGAACTAAATGTCGCACACCTGGTGTAGTACCGTGTGCGCTTGGCTCTCATCGCCTTGAGCTTAGCAGCCGCAGTTTTATATTTTGTTGGGGGGGCCATAGGGTAAATATGAGAGAGATGGTGAGACGATAGAGAGGAAAAAAAGAAGATGAAACCAAAGAGAGTTCGGGAAGCTTCGATTCGTCGGACCGTATCAATCACGAGCCTCCGTGCAAGGATCATGGTTTATGGGCCCTGCTGGTTCGTACTACCATCTGCATGATGCTGTAGATATCAGATGTGAGTGCGGTGCATGACATCAATGATAATTGGCACTTTTCTCATTGTCAGAGGTGAATGAGTGACCGCTAACTCATCACTGTAGTGTAGTTGGGTGTTGTTGGTCCGACCTTAACAGATTCGACTGGAAAGGAGTATTAATGCGGTCCCGCAATTCAATAACCAATGTTTAAATTTTAAGTCGCATTTGGAGTGAACTAACCTTAGTATCATGAATCGTTGTCATAAGATGGGGTACATACATCATCCTGAATTCAATCGATTTGTTAAGTGAGTTTTGGTCCGACCTTATTAGATTCGACCTGGAAATGAGTATTGATGTGGGACCACAATTCAATGTCCAATGTTCAAATTCTAAGTCGCATTTGGAGTGAACGAACCTTATGTTATTCGTGAATCGTTGTCGTGAGATGGTATACATCATCCTAAATTCAATTGATTTGTTAAGTGAGTTAGACGACCAATGTAGGGGACATGTAGTACTACTTTATAGCATGGTAGGACTGTATCAAATGACGCTACATGTTCAATGCCATGACTGTTAGACTTAATTTAATTCTTCCCAGTCACATGAGCACGTCACGTTTCGGACTCTCACAGATCACCCGAGTCAATGTTCGAACGTTCAACACTTGTACTCAGGCAAATACTGGTGAGTATCATATGAACTATCAACTGCTGGTATGGACTGACTACTCACTTAGGCACTATAGGTTGAAGTACTACTACCTTCCAGCCCGGATGCTTCGACATTTGGCTTCCAAGGCTGGTAGCACTTCCGCTTCGATGGTACCTACCATTCAGGTTTGCCTTGTGGCTCGATATTTGTTGCTATGGGCTGGGCTAATCTTCTTCAGAACAATACTGCATATGAAGGTACGGACAATGCTCTCCACGCCTCGAGTTACCCTCCCACTGCTGACTTGTACTAGTAACATCTATGTCAACAACGTCGATACTCATATGTGAGTAGTGTACATACTCTTAACATTTTTTGTCTGGGCTGAAAACCATTCGTTCGGTAGCTTTTTTGTGGTGCTTCCTGCAAGATTCGTTTTGTTTAGGTCCACCTTGTGGCTCAACATTTGTTGCTATGGGTCGGGGCGATCTTTTTAAGAACCATGCTATACACGAAGGTACGGACTATGCTCACTTTCTCCGAGCTTTTAGTGAAACTAGCCCACAGCCGAGTTATCTTCCTGCTTATTCGCGCTAGTACGTCCATGTCTGACACTCAAATGCTGACGTGCGAGCAGTGCAACATGCTCAAACAGTTTTCACCTGGGTTTAAACTTGTTCGCTCTGGGTCTGTGGAAGAGCAGGATATGTTTTGGGAGAACATTTTCACCCAGTGGTTCACAGCTTGGCCCGAACGTGCAGTACACTACTCTGGGGCACCGCAGGAGCAGGATCTGTCCGACTTACAACAGGTGTTGCTCAAATTTGCGATTCAACGTCATCAATGAGTACGTTATTTATTTCCTATGTAGTTATAACATATATTGATTCGATGATGACACAGCAGATCAAATCGTTTATTTATGCAAACACTATTGGCAGAGAGATGCGCCTGGTATCGTCCACATTGAACGACTTTTTTAAGGTCAAGAAGCTGGTGAGGTTTGTTGCATAATTTATTCATCGTAACAATAACACTCACAATAGCACAGACAGCGTTGATGCGGCGATGATGGCATATGTTTGTAGATGAAATATTGTACTAGACAGTGTCGTTTTGTTGCTTCGGTATCTAAGTCAGTTTCAATTATCCATTGTGATATATCGCTCATGGTTCTTAACAACCTTCTAGGATTCTCCCGCAGCGCATATGGTATGTATGTTGGCTTATGCGCCACTGGATGTATCACCAATTTATGTAGTAGTGAAATTTAATTTGTTGACACCTAGACAGGCAGCGTTAGCCATGTCACAGTCTGGACGCACTGGGCGTCCCTCTAAACATCCCAAACTTGTCAGGCATACACCGCTAGACCCCAATCAGCCCTCGAATCATGTCGACAGGCATCACATATTCAGCTTGCAGCCTAGTGGTCAAGTTGGACTTCGGACATCTTACATTCCTACTAGCTCACCTGAGAAGGAGGATGAAAATATACCTTTACACACTGTGCCCACTGATTCTGACCCTACCATGCCCACCGAAGACGATCCTTGGAATGAGATGGAGTACTTTGACCCTGCATCCAAGGTGGACGATGTCCTTGGAGTGCCTGAGATACCAATGGCTGAAAAGAGACACAGGAGAACTGCAGGAGTAAGTCTCCAGTATTACGAAGATGATGCTGCAGTTGATCTTAGTATGTACTAGGACGATCCCATCTCCCTTTGGCTGCCAGAACGTCAAACGTACATGAATGAATTTCTACGACTTGAAGGAAGAGGCCAGAATTCAGACACCCCATGTGTGTGTGGTGTGGAGGATGCCATGTTTCGGTGTCAGGATTGTTTCTCTGTCGAGCTTGCATGTCGATCATGCACCATTAGATTGCACCATAACTCCCCGTTCCATAGAATTAAGGTGTGTGTTCCTTTTATTCTCCAATTCTAACATTAACAACGAGAAATAGGAATGGAAGGGTGGATTTTTCCACCCTGTTTCATTGAAATCTATGGGCCTGCGCATTCAACTTGGACACCCTCCTGGTACCACTTGTTGCAGACCCACACCTGCATTTGGCGATGATTTCGTGATTATCGATGTCCATGGTGTGCATCCAACGGGACTTGATTTTTGCGGATGCGAGCATGAAGTTTCGCACTTCAAACAACTACTCTGTGTGCGCTTATTCCCTTCTACGGTGACTGACCCAAGAACGGCAGCAACATTTGCTGTCTTGGAGTTCTTTCACATACTCTCCTTCGAGTCTAAAGTGTCTGCATTTGAGTTTTATCATAGCTTGGCATGGCGGACTGACAACACAGGAATCACACCGATTCACATAGGTTTATTCTCTAATGTCATGTATTCAGATATGCTCACGCAAAAGATCAGGACCGCTATTCGGTGTTTCTAAGGATAGTCTGCAAGTGGAGAAACATCAAAGCACTCAAACATTCAGGTCATGGCCACCATCCCACAGGAATAAGTTCCACTCAAGATGGAGATCTGGCTGTTCTCTGCCCTACATGCCCACATCCAGGAAAAAACCTTCCTACTAACTGGGAAACTTCACCTTCGAGTCAGCAGTGCGCAAGTTCCCTTATCACAACACAATGAATTGACTGACGAATAGCTAGATGGAAGTACGCACTCTTTCTTGCTATAGATGCCAACTTTCAACTCAAGCGCTGGATGGTGTCGACTGATCAACGAGATCCTGGCCTTAGCCAAGGATGGGGCTATTTCGTCAATGAGAGTGAATATAAGCGGTACCTGAGCACCAATGGTGAGACCCTTCAAGAGGTACGCTCTTAGATATCTGATATTCTTCCTCGAGTCTGACAACTATTCTACGTCTGACAGAAAAGCAACTGTGTCAGCCATAATGCAGTTAACATGGCTGATACGAAGTCATCAAGGGGACTTGCTGCAACTGGAGTGGGCACCGTGGATTGTGCATGCCATGATATGAAGTTAGCTAATGGCGTCGGTGACTTACAGAAGGGTGAAAAGTAAGTCGAATCATTGGGCACACACTGTCTGTTTAACTCACATCATTGTAGATATCTAAATATGGACTATCTCATTTTCTCTGCTCTCGCCAGATTCTCTACCCTGTCGACAATCAACTTTTCATACGATATTGCGTGCCAGTGGCACAAAAAGTTGTGGGATCACTTGCCCACACTACCACCTCATCTTCAGTTCAATCGAGAGGGCAAGACCGTTAATTTTTTTGTGCCGAAGTTTTATATCGCTGCACATATCGAATCCTGCCAGACTCAATTTTCATTCAATTGGACTCCAGGGGTAGGACGGACTGACGGAGAAGCACCTGAGCGTGGATGGGCAAACATCAATCGTGTGGCCAGCAGTACAAAGGAAATGGGTCCTGGAGCCCGACGCGACACACTCAATGACCAATTCTCCAATTGGAACTGGAAGAAGATTACAGCTCTCGGTGAGTGTTGGTGTAGTATGTTGATGTTATTGTACTGACCAGTCTCATCTTTAAAAGGTAAAACTATGTTACGAAAAATGACGGAAGCCGTCATCGCTCAGAAGGAGCACCGTCTTGCTCTCTGGGAACTCGAGAGCTCTATCAATGACTCTGAAGTAGGAGCTGCTTCCCTCGCTGCATGGAGGACAGAGATTGAAGCTTGGGAGATGGACTGCTCACAACCTAATCCATTCCAGAGAAGAGTTGGCGGTGAGTTGTTCTTCATTATGCTGAGCTATTGCTCACAAATATACAGCAATGACCCAGGCAACTGTGCGGCTAGAGTTAGCACAGCGGGATGCAAACGAGTTGGAAGACAGGTCAGCAATATCACTCCACGCCGAAGTTACCTGCAGTGTTCTCATTAGCACTGGTATTGACCTCGAAGATGCCCAGTAAGACATTTTTCAAATCTCTTTGTAGAACGCTGCTGAATTATCTTAGATGCTGTTTGCGTGTCGATTCCTCCGCACTTGGTCAGCACGCAACTGATATCCAGAGGACCAAGGTATTAACTCGAAGGAACGCACTGCAACACCGCCTAGATGCATGGACCGACATTCAAAAACTCTATATGCCAGTGGTTCCAAACCTCCAAATCTCTTCAATCCTCCCAACCGGCAGCAACAGCAATGACAGTGGCTGTCCAGTCCCAGATCCCACCTCTGGAAAGGCAGAAGACTTTCAGTTGCTTCTGCCTTCCGAGATCTGTAACGTTGTGCCATGCAACAAGACACTCCTGGAAACAGAATGGTCCCTGTGTTTCGCCCAAGCTACTGATGCTCTGAACGAGTGTCGTTCGCATATTCAACTGCGCCGTCAGCTGTATCAGTTCAAGGTTCAGCATCTACGCGGACAAGGGCCCAATACTTGCGCACGCAAAACTATGGATGCAGTTGAGGAACGTCTTATGCTGAGCCATGCTAAGTATGCAAGTGCTCATGAGGCACTTCTCTCCTTAGCTCCTCACCTTGAACGGATAGGATGGGAGCACAAATTGCAGCCCCTGAAAAAGACGCACCTCAGACCAATCGGGGACCTTGGACAGCAAACTCAAGGCACAGTGATTATGTCGTGGATTTGGTTAACTCACGGAATTTCTTCTGACGACAGCGAAGGACTCCAAGACTGTAAGTTGTTTTATCTCGCTCTTTTGTTGATGCTGAAGTTTGAACTACATTAGCGCTTCACGTCGAATGGTGTAAAGCCCGAGCGCGTCGTAATAGGTGGTTGGAGGAAGTCCAGCTCTTATTAGAAGAAATGCGACGTGTTCTAGCCTTTCTCAATTGGGAGGGAGACTCCTGGGAGTCGTGCGCAACCCTACCAGCTGTCGAACAGCCCAAGGAAAAGGAGGGTATGATTGCATATGCTCACCGTCAGGCTCACATCCGACGAGGTTTAGTGGCAGCTTTTGCGGAACATTGGAAGAGAGTCCCGCAACTCGTGGCCTCGAACTTGGATGACGATCCGAGTGCTGATGATGTCGAAGGAGTCTCTTTGGATGCGCCTCCTTGTGAATATATCGAGGGACCTGATGAATAATAGCATTTCTGTACCGTGATTGTGAAAGGTGAATTGATGTGATTCTTGATCTCAGAACTACATAGTGATACAGTACCTGGAGAGATCGCGAGATTGCTGACAACAAAACAAGATTGCGAGATCACAAATACTAAAATAATATATTCACCGGGGCTGGACGGCCACCCTTCCGAGAGCCGTCTGAGAAGTTTGGTAGGCTGGCTGATCGATAACCATACAGAATGGATATATTCCACAGTGGATAACTAGACTTAAAGATGTATCGGACTTTTAGGATTATTAGCCATATAGATATATCTTTCTGCCTGTATCCTGTGTCATTCCATGAGGTCACTCTGTGAAGGCACATTGCCAGCCGCGCCAGTCCATCTTGGTGAGAGAGTGGGATTTGGGTTTCGCATCAAGCTTCTGCCGATATTAAAAGTAGAGGCCGATTGGACAAGAACACGACACCACAGCCTCAAAAACGTCAATGAACGCACCTCAACGTACACGTGTAGAACGCACGGCTTCAAGAAAAAATGTAGAAAAGCCTCTCAATGGCCCCCAAGAAAGCACCACCCAAACGAGGACCAGACGGTCAATTCCTCGCATCAGACAAAAGCCTAAACTCTTCCACTACCGCTTCATCACTTGCAACATCAGCTGATTCATCTCCCCTAGACATACCAGAAGTTGTATATCGCACCTTACCAGACACTACTTCAGATACCAGAGAATACAAAGCTGACCTCGAAGACAACCAGGAGAAGGACAACAATTTAGATTCCTTACCAGGCACTCCTAATCCAGACACCATCATTTAGCCCATGGAAGAGATTCCTTTGCCCCCACTTAAACCAATAGAACAGATTCAGAGATCCAGCCGTAAAACTCCACTACCAGCCTCAATTCCCACCATATTAACGCCAGTAAAACCGTTAACGATAAGGATTCCACTACCTTTAATAGCGCCCCCAAGCTCGCAATCCACAGCACCACATAAGATGTCCAGCAACTCCACGTTGGGATGGTTTCATGGCAAACCGGATGAGAATGCACAGAACTTCTTAAAAGAAGTGGACCGTTATATAATTCTTAGCAACTTAAAGACAGAAGTCGTGAAAGTCATAGTGTTCAGTACACTCCTTTCAGCAGGATCGGTTGCGGACTTATGGTGGACCAAGTTAGACAGTTCGAAGAAGACAACATGGGTAGATGTCCAGAGCGCATTCACCAGTAGATGGCTGGCAATCACTATCATGGAGAAGACAGGCCTTGATTATCAATGAGAGATACTAGTGCTGCACATTGACAAAGAAGAGCTAGGAACACAAGTCATAGTAGCAGGAGTCCCAACCTGGGCTCACCTACAGTTCCATGCTCAGATACAACAACTTGTCAATGAAGCAGGGGCAAGTGAAACAGCGGGCCTAGTCTACCAAGTCAGGGAGAATATGCCAATGGTAATCAAAGAGCTTACCACCCTGGGACTCACAGATTGGACAAAGTTTTTGGACGAGATCAAGGCTATAGACATGAATAAGTTGAGAGAGAAGGCGGAAGTGGTGAGGAAGAAGAGAGAAGTAGAGAAAGCGCAGAATGCCTGCCTAGCCAGACTTGAAGGTCTGCAGACAGACACAATCGAGGTCTTACATTTACAGCTTCAATGCACCAGAGGTAGTCGGCTACAAGCAATTCGAATGGATGACGCTGGGTGATAGGGTACATTAACGCATGGAGTTGCATTGATCCGAAGTTCTTGCATTGCGGGCATGCTAGGATTGCGTTCGTGATCGACCGGTCGAGTTTTGGACTGTATATGCGGTCCATTAACTTGAGTTTGGTGAGGTCGCAACCCCAATGACTGTTGTTGGCATGTTCTTGTCTAGCCATCTCTATTGCCTCTGTCTGTGATATGCATTCTAGCTGCGGTCACGCCCTGATGGATTTCCCATCTGCGATGTGCCAAAGGCGCCCATCTTCGATGCTATATCCCAGTGCCTGGTGACATGCTCGTCTGCAATCTTGTTCTGACTTACCATTATCCAGATTGTACATAGCTTCGATTACTTCCAGGAATAATGGCTCATTCATGAAGTGAGTCTTGAGTTCTATGGTTGCTGTGTCAGTATCACTAATATGCAGTAAGTCATTTACTAAGCCGTGTGCCGATTCCCAGTCTTCGCTAACGGACCATGCACTGCCGTCTCCATCCTTCCGTGGTTGTCCTGACATGCGCCGGCTTAACGTGTCTGCTGCTATGTTAGTGGTACCTGCCCTATGTCTGACGGTGACTATCTGGTAAGCCAGAATGCCGTCTCTCCATCTTGCATGTACCAGGGATGCCTTGTCATTGAGTAACGTGTCGCGAAGGGCGGTACAATCTGTCTTAACCTCTACTGGGAATCCCCAGATTGTCCCACCAAAATGATCGAAGGTGAACTTGAGGGCCACGAATTCCAGTAAATAAGGCTTGTAACGTTCCTCTGCTGGTGATGTCCGTTTTGAGGTGAAACCAACTGGATGTGTTCTAACTATAGTATCACCTGAGGGAAGTTGCGTCGTAAAACGTTGTGACAGGACAGCACCAAAACCGTCTTTGCACCCATCGCTCGTGACTATGAATGGGGTGCCATTGAATTTCAGGGCTTTGAGGATAGGTTCCGAGACTAGTATCTGTTTGAGCTGTAAAAACACTCGCATGTGACATTGTTTCCAGAATTGTGCAAGGTTGCGATCTCTCAGAAATTGTCAGTACTTTTGTTTCATTCCTTTGACATCCGCTGATGGTAGATCTAAGTTACAAAGCATATCCATGAGGGGAACCGCAATCCTAGCATAATCTTTGATAAGAGTTCGAAAATATCCTGTTAAGCCTAAGAAATGCATCAGTTCTAATAAGTTTTTAGGAACCGGCCACTCAGTGACTGCTGCTATTTTCGCTGTGTCTGGCTTGATCCCATCGCGTCCTACACGCGACCCCCCAAAGACAAGTTCTGTGAAGAAAAGCTTAGTTTTTGACGGTGATAATGATAGACCTAATTTGCGACATCACTCGAAAAATATACGTAGCTGTCCCAGTAACTCTAGGAAGTCGTCACCGGCCATTGATCCGTCATCTATGTACAGTTCCAAGAGTAGCTTTAGCATAATGTCATGGAGTGCTTGAGCAGTGAGATTGCTGAAACATGATGGCGCACCCTGTACTCCCATTGGCATGCGGCAGTATGCTTCATATCCGCGACCCTCTGTGTAGAAACATAGATAGGGTTGGCTTTCTTTCTCTACCGGAATAGCATAGAACCCCGCCGCAAAATCAAGGACACATATGTACTCATGTCCCGCTAATCGTTGTTGTTTCACATTGATGTCCCCTTGTGGTGTTAGTGCTACGTCAGATACCTTATTGACCTCGTTGAAGTTTTGGCAGATCCGCCATTTCACTTTGGCAGGATCAACCGATTCTGCTATCCTGTCTGGTGTTGAGCTCAAATCGAAGTTAGAGTCTGGTGGCTCACCTAGTTCTATGCATTGTTGATTAATGATATGTCAAATATCGTCGAGTGATAGACTAGTGCCTGAGTGGGTCTTCTGCACAAGTACTGTGGACGCTACTGCCTTGACCTCATCTGCTGGTATAAACCGAGTTATTCCTGCCTTTCTCATTTCATCCAGGACTGGGAATAGATACTCTCGCTGCAGTTGTGTCAATGGGCGTTGGTGAATTTTCTTCGAAAATGCGGTGTCTGGTGGTATCGATAGTCGGAACTTAACGAAATATACCTGTTTCACTTCTCTTGTTGATAGTGCAAATACGTCAGCGAACTCAATGACTAGACTTCATACCATGTTGTGTTGCTCGTCCATGAGTTGTGGTCCATAACGAACAGTGTTCACAACCATTTCCACTCGCGGTGGGTAGAATGGTCCGAGGGAAGTTAGTCTAGTGAACATATCATTCAACGGGTTGGGGTGAGCAAGGTCTGGTACTTCACCTAGGAGTGCATTGTTCTCTGCATCATCCACGTGTAAGATTTCATGATCATCTTGATGTGGGGTTATTTCTATACTTGCAACATTAGTAGGTTCTTCGGACATCTGAATGGGAGGAGGATGCTTGGTTGCGGATGGGAACTTTATCACTGTTGGGAGACATGGGAGTGGGAGTGTTCGAAACGGTGCGATATTGCATATATGGTGCTGTGATCCTTGTGATGTGAGTGTGATGGAGTCGTTGCTGTAGTCCTGCATGGCCTGGGACTGTTCGAGCAATGGTTTACCTATCAACATCCACCAAAAGCCTCCGCTCGGAAAGACTTCGAATGAGGCATTTAGTTGTAGAGGTCCCCATGAGATCTGTCCTGTCCAGACACCTGTTGAAGGAACTAATGATCTGTCAGCCATTCATAGTGTACATCGAGAAGGACTTAGCAGGGTGAGTCTACGTGCTATTCTCTGGAATGCTGCTGTATCAATGGCGTTGATCATGGCGCCATTATCAACTATAAAAATCGGACTTTTTCTCCTTGTGGTCTGTGCAGGATTGGGACCATTAAGAACGGATCACTTGTTCTTGTTCGAATTGCGTTTCCTGATGCATCCACCATATAAACGTCAGTGATAGCATTATTCTGTGTAAGAGAAGGTACAACTGGAGAGGAATCTGTCCTAGCGATGATATCATCTACTTCGTCCAACTTGAGAGGAGTCAAAGGAACTGTTGTGCTAATACCATCAGTGTGCTCTATATGAGAATGAAAGGAAGAGGAAGGCATGGTTACGGAAGTGTTATGTACAGTAGGTAGCTTATATGTCAGTGTTGAAGGTGAATGAATGTATGTAGGTGGAGTCTGTGTTTGAGGGACTGCTACTGCTCCGTGATATGTAGTGGTCCCCCGTAATTTTCTGGTTCCCACTCGTATCCTGCCTCCTGTTGTGTCCAAGCATTAGTCTGATCCCACCATCCTTGTTCTTCTTGCACTGTAAACACTTGTGGCGTCAACGGAGCTCCGTATTGC